TGAGCACAAATAATTGCGCCTCTCATGGAGCTTGAAATAATTGCACCTCTAGAGCACAAAATAATTGCGCCCCCATAGAGTGCAAGTAATTGCACCCTGGAGCACAAATAATTGCGCCCTGGACTGCAAAAGAATTGCACCCCCCATGGAGTGCAAAAGAATTGTGCCTCTCATGGAGCTTGAAATAATTGCACCTCTAGAGCGCAAAAGAATTGCTCCCCCATAGAGCGCAAGTAATTGTGCCCTGGAGCGCAAAAGAATTGCACTTCTCATGGAGCTTGAAATAATTGCACCTCTAGAGCACAAAATAATTGCACCCCCCATGGAGCGCAAAAGAATTGTGCCTCTCATGGAGCGCAAAAGAATTGCACAGGTTGGGACTTGCCAATGAGACCAATGGGCGCAGTGCATGGGTGCCATAAACCTCTGCCAAAGTGGGCTGACCCATTGTATGAGGGGCTTTTTTTCATGCTGCCCATCCATGGTGAAAAATTCACCTGTTGTTGCCTGCAGGCGCAACAACGAGGCTGCTGTCAACACATTTAAATACTTACTTCACATACAACAGGTTAATAATATATCTATTTAACTTTCTCCTGTGTGGTCCCCCACAGTGGTACTAACAAGGCAGCACTCTGGTTAACTGCCTGAAAGAACGATGGGCGCAACAATGGGATCTGTGCAATTGGGCACAACCCATGGGTGCCAGAGGCAAAGTGGGCTGATCCGTCCTCTATGGGGCTCTGTTCGTGCGGCCCACCCATGTCGCATGGCCTATTTTAGAGTCTCGGCCCAGTCATTCACAAGGCCGAATTCTTGACAGCTCGGCCAAGTCCGCTGGCCCGCTGTTGATGGGCGCCTGTCACACACCGCTGGCCCATCAGTGATGGACCCATTTGACTGCCCTAACTGACACGCCAGCTTCTGAATGAGCCACGGTCTGGGGAAGGACAAGCTTTAGCAGCGGATCTTGAGAAGACGGGGAAGTGACCTCACAGCATCCTTGACGCCGAAGCATTTGTTGATAATGGAAGATTTCCCTACACCACTCTGTAAAAACAAACTGTGAGCTAATACCTGAGAATAGAGGTATAAGAGAGCTACTTTGCCGATGACCAGGACTCGGAACCTAGCGGTAAGGTAAGTCAGAGTAGTCGGGGATTAAGCAGACTAACCGTTCGACCAACTTGAATAACTCATCCGTTGTGGGTTGTAGGTTGCCCTCGTCGGAGGTTCTGCCTTGGTTAAAGCATTCTAAGATCGATAGCACCTGCATTAGGCGGACGCTTTTGCGTTTGAGGAAGAAGTGCACACACCCCTGCGTATCGGCTAAACTTCAGGACGACATCGAACTTGTCAAATGATTTTGACCATTCTAGAGTAAAAAGTCCTGCATCAGCAAGACAGGAGCGATTGCAGAAGGGAGGTACTTGCCTTGTTTTCCGGAGAAGTGGGGGCCAACCTTACTTAGCAGTTCATCGAGAGGTATCTTGCTCTTCGACGCAGCACGAAACAATCCGCGGAATCGGACTTGCAGATAGAGGGGCTCTGAAGGCGAAAGTTGACTGCTTTGACTGGGTTTGTCGTCCAATGCTACACATGATCATCGGCTCACCAGGGGGATGACAACTCAAAGTTGTGGGTCGTTGCATTCAGGAGACAAGGTGATTCCCGCTCGAACGATCCAATCGAAAGTTGGATCGATTTGAGGATGTGCTGGGATTCAACGCAGATTTCTAGCCAATGGGTGTCAGATGTTTGACTTGCGGGGCAAAAACCTGGGAGGTTACCTGTAATCTCAATGCTGGGGCTTCCCGTTGAGCTACCCTTCGCGGTAGACATGGTGGTTTTAATGAAAGGGAGGTGTTTAGCGCTCGGAACACGCTTTACACGGCAGGCATGGGTGAAGACTGACTGAAATAGAAATTTTAGCCTCGTTTGTCTGATAAGGCGCTCGGTGTGACTGTCAGAGGATGTGACGGTATCACCTGCGAGCGCTTGAGCAGTGTTGCTATTGAGTCCGTTGGAATGAAAAGCGAGACAGAAGGTTAGTAGTGTCATCAGTTGTTCACGACCGTCCTCAGGAGGGGTGTTGAGGTGGAGATCGCCTCGAGAAGCGTCCGCGGAAAATAACAAAGGGTGATTTGGGTATCCGAAGTGAGTACAAGGTGTGTCCTATGACTTCCGCCATGCTGTCGGAGACCAGTGCTTAGGAAGGGCATCGCATGATGGTTGGAAGTTCTACAAAGTCCACAATTGTGCCAGCGCACGCCAAGGTCTTTCGGTTGCGAACGTACTGTTGGCCAGGCTACGTTGCGGCTAGTTGATAATCTAGATACAACCTACGTTAGAGGCGAGAGAAAATGGGAATAGAAAGCGTACTTACGGAGAGGAGCGGGTCACATTTGAAAGAAATAGTGTCGAGCTGCGGAGCCATGTGTGCTCCTCCTCCGGTCTCCACAACCTACGGCGTGCATTGACTTTGTGAAAGATGAAATATGACTTTGTAAGGGCATGTTAGAAATTTGTGCGGTGCCACCCCTAGATATGAAATCGAAGCCCCGGTTGCGAACGTGCTTCTAGATTGAAAAAAGAAGGTGAAATTGCGACTTGAATGAAAACAAACGCTATGTAGGCCTAACGAATAGTCAGTAGATAGAATTTTGACGTGTCGCCTTGGCTCACCTGGAGGACAATAATCCCAAGTTGTCATGAAAATGCGCGTCGACATGGTTCACGCCCGCAAATGTCGTTGCAGTGCTAGAAGTCGATGTTCCAGGTGCCATTACTCGTTCTGGTCAAAATGAGCAGAAGCTTTCCTTAACATGTTGACCAAAAGTTTAACCCAATACGGGTGTACCACCAACCCAGTAAAAAAGAGCGTGCGTGTTGGGTCGTGTTGGGTGAAAATCCAGATGGGAGCCAAGACCTAGTATGATAGGTAAGCATATACACAACAAAGCCAGAAACGAGGCTTACTTTCAAAGCAAACCGGTTGAACGTATTGTGAGGTCGCCCCGTTCCCGTTCCTCCGAGGCATCGAAATCTAACCACTAGGCGTCTTTCTGAAACGTGACACGACGAAGTTCCACGGCGCAGTACGGAGAATGCGCTTCGCGACGAGATGAGTCGCGTTGGCGTTGGCATTTCTCAAAAGACGAGCATCGATTGTAGATGACGAGCTC